AGGGATACAAAGTTTTTGCTTCACGTATATATAAATTAGAACAAACAAGCCTAGCAACTAGTCATTGGGAGTCTAAACAAAGCGAGAAGACAAAATAAGTACTTGTACCTACTTAAGCTAGCCACAATTTAGGGTCAATGCGTTAACGATATATTCTTTGCCAAAATTTCATTATCAACACTTCGCAAATTTCTAGTTGGCAACAGTTCAGTTTAGGTACTAGGTACTAGTACTGTAGTTTATCGAGTCAGAGGATCTTACATATCTGTTCTAAATCTGTTCGACCTATAAAAAGGAAATTGTGAGTAGCATACCAATATTATTTATTTACTTCGAGAACCGACATCAAAACAATATGTAAATATGTTCGATAGGCCCGAACCAACTTAGGCGTCTTCGGACATGGATATTGATAGCACTACGCGCTGTCACTGTCATTGTTAATGTCACTTGAGTTTCAGAGGTAAAATAATATTGCCACTTTGTGATTCGTAATTTAATTATGGAGGATAGAAGTAAGCCGCACCATTTTGTGTAGGAGTCAATTTGAAATAGTGTCCTGAGTCCACCTGAAAACAGCAAGTTATTGTTAGAAGACTCACCGAAATATCGCTAGCGTAGGAAGTGGGAACAATACGAGGGCGGCACTGAAAATTTCGGGAATTAACGAAGTGACACAACATTACTATTTAAAAATGTATTTATTGCTTTTCGAAGTATTCTCCGCGTAATGTGACACATTTTTCCATACGATGGAACCAATCATTGAAGCAACCATTCCATTCGGAAGTTGGGGTCTCCAAAATGGCCGTTTTGTAGGCGTCCAGAGCTTCTTCAGGTGATGAAAATCTCTGTCCACGCAATTTATTCTTTATTTTAGGGAAAGTATAGAAATCATTAGGGCTTAGGTCGGGGCTGTACGGCGGATGATCTAATAATTCTATGTTTTCTTGCTCTAAAAACTCTTTTGTTCTGTGCGCGGTGTGAGAACTCGCATTGTCGTGATGGAGGATGATGCGGCGGTTGCAGTTCTCTTTACGGAGTTCAGAAACGACCTGTGGCAAACAAATGCTAGCATACCATTCTGCATTAACCGTTCTTTGTCCCTCAAAGAGGAATAGTCGTAACATGGCTGGTTTTGGAGACAAACGTGGCCACCATTTTTTTTTTGCAACACTCCGTGAACGAACAATTTTTGTTGGCTTTAACTCATTTTCGAACACCCAAACTCGTGACTGGTTTTTTGTTTCGGGTTCGTACGCGTATATCCAGGATTCGTCACCTGATACAATGTTGTATACAGCATTTGAGAATCCTGCGTAGAATCTTTCGAGAGTTCTGACGCACCAAGTAACGCGAGCCGCTTTTTGCTCTTCACAGAGCGAATGCGGTATCCATCCGGAAAACAACTTTTTTACACCTAATTGTTCATGCAAGATTATTTGTATTTGACTCATGCCAATGTCTAAACTTGCCTGAATTTCGCGGTATGTCACATGTCAATCTTCCTCAATCAGCTTACGCACAGCATCAACGTTTTCTTGGGTGACTGCAGTTTTTGGACGACCTTGACGGGGATCATCACTGAGCTTGACACGTCCTCGTTGAAACTCAGAAAACCAGCGATAAATTGTGGTTTTGGATGGGGTTTCATCACCAAATGCAGAAATCATCCGGTCAACACACTGTTTTTGTGTTAAACCACTTCGAAAGTCATAATAAATCATCGCTCTTGAATTTTCTCGAGTCCATTCCATTTTCTCAACGACTAAACAAGTTTGACAAAACCTCGTGACAAGACCGAGAATCTTTTTTTAAATAAATAAATGGTATTCGATTTTTAAAACCAAGGAGTTTTCAATTAAAAAGATTTTAATATGACAGGAAAAAAAAATGTAGTATTTAAAATCTCAACTATTTATTTTATTATTATTTACATACGAAGTATACTTCTGAATTAAATATCCTACTCTAATAGCTTACGGCACTGTTATTAAAATATTTCCACTTGCTACTATGGCGCCACCTTTATTGGCTTCCCTTTTAGTAGACGCTTACTGGTGGTAGGACCTCTTGTGAGTCCGCACGGGTAAGTACCATCACCCTGCCTATTTCTGGCGTGAAGCAGTAATGCGTTTCGGTCTGAAGGGTAGGGCAGCCGTTGTAACCATACTGAGACCTTTAGAACTTATATCTCAAGGTGGGTGGCGCATTTACGTTGTAGATGTCTATGGGCTCCAGTAACCACTTAACACCAGGTGGGCTGTGAGCTCGTCCACCCATCTAAGAAAAAAAATGCTTTATAGTACATTGAAATATTCCTCCTTACTTCTACCCTCCATAAATTTAATGACGCTTTTGGATCGAAGACCTAACCGCGCAGAGGTACCTCCAAACTCGCTCAGACCTTACCACGTTCTAATAGTAATCCATTTCCATCCGATTCGTATGTGTTGATTTTGTGTTGATAGTTTATTAAATCGTACTAAACAAGCCCGGAGAGTGTATACCGATAATTATTTACGTGATTAACCATGGACAACGACCCGGTCTGTAATAAAAGCCCACACTGCTCAGCGTCAAATAAGGTATATTTAATACTATAAGTGTATAACAAAGTGTTGGGTTGTCCTCGGATTGAGATTTGCGGTTAATGTTGAACAGATCACAAAATGAGCATCGATTGTTGTCCATTCGATGTTTTCGATCGATGACTAAATTGATGGACAAACTCACAGATGACTTCATGTTAAGGCAAACTCCAAAAAATATTTATTTCATCGTGAATGACGCCAACCACCTTGAGACACTGGGTCAATGTCTTTATTGTACACTAGCTGACCCGGCAGACTTCATAGTGCCTTAATCGATAAATAAAAGACGATAAAGGAAAAACAAAATTGTTAGTTTTATTTAATTCCGAGCATTTTCATATTTATTTACCTTTTAAACCTTCTCTGGACTTCCACAAACAAGACCAAGACCAAAATTAGTAAAATCGGTCCAGCTGTTCTCGAGTTTTAGCGAGACTAACGAACAGCAATTCATTTTTATATATATAGATATAGAATATAGATATAGATATAATGACACCTATTCCCCCTATTTTTACTGAAGATAAGTTCGTGACAAAAGTGTGTAAAATCAAATCTTCGTATATGCTATTTAAATTAAATAAATTCCCCATAAGTGCTCAGTTCAGTCATTCATTAAACAAAACAAAAGTAAGACATCTTAAAAAACCTTACTTAAGTCACGTCGATCGTTCGTGAAAAATAAATAAAACATCATTTCATTTTTATATATAGAGAAGATAGATACAACAGTTACCCCACTCTTCAAATGACAACGCAAGACTGGTTCGCGATGGAAAAAGGCAAGATGGTGGTAAATGAATCTTATGAGCACAGGCAAGCCCTACTCAATTTCTCATCGGATCTTCTCAGTGAGTCGCGATTCCGATCTGGTGGTAGATTCAGCGAAGCCCGGCTCTTGCTAGGGTCAGTGTTAGCAAATTCTCTTAGGTTGGGCCCGTGATCTCACATACTCACCCGGACGTAGTTGGAATAGACCCCAGCTACCAACTAATAGGTAAGAAAAAAGCACTGGCACACCAATATTGACAGTTGCGCATTTTCTTTAAAAAAAAAGTATTTGTCTTATACGAATGGCGGCATAGTCGCATCTGATAGTAACTCATCAGACGTTTTATCTTTAAAGCATCGAAGTTTCGATTTGAAAATTGTAGAACAGCTTGGGGGCTTTTAAGAGAGAAATACGAGTCGACACCCGGATTATGGATCTTTGTCAATCATGTCTGTGCGATCGAATATACTGAACGGTATTCATCTTCTATCTTTCAGCTTATAAACTGCCTGGACCTAGGGGGCGCGCGGTGTATGTGGGACTTGACGATCTGCAGATGTTGGGAGCAGACCGCGGACCCAAAGAGTTTTGGGGACCTACCACACTAAAAGACTCCCCTGCATTCTTACACCTGACGTCCGATCTCCGTCCGGGGTCAGAACCCGGTCAGATTAGGGGGGTTCCCGTGGTCAACACTACAACCAGACACGCGGCGCCACCCTGGATGACATAAGCCTACCCCAAGCCTCGCTACAATGGCCGGTGCTACGGTGCTTGCATCCAGGGGATCTCCGCGAACCTCAACAACAAATGAAGCTGCTGGGGACTGGGAGCCGGTTTAATTTGGGTCAGCCATGTTGGGAGGCAGAGTTTGCCTTAATCGCCATGCTTGGCATGCGTGTTGGCGATCGCAGCACGCTGTTACGACACACAACTATATTCAGTCACTTCATAATGTTCCAGAATAAAATGGGCCTAGAAAAATGCAGTTCAAATGTGTGTTAATAATCATGTCGATACTCACACATACACACAAACACATAATAATGATAATGTTATTTTAAAAAAATCAACGTAGAACAATAAAGCTTTAACAGGTATAAATGGGACCATAATTTTAAAACACTCGATTTGATTTACGGCCATAACTCTACCGAATGTCATATACAGCTTATCAAAACACATCAGTATCGATGTAATTGGTAATTGCCTCGAGCCTCGAGAAAGGAGGTTTGTTTTAAATATTGAGAGTATAATCATTTTCGAATTTTGAATTGACGAATTTAAAAAATTTCATTTAATAAACCTTGATGAATTTAATGAACCTTGAATGAGGCTAGCTAGTTATGATATTTTTACTGGAAGTGCAAAACTGTGACGCAAATTATTTTTGTACTTCTTCTCTCTTAACGCTCAAATGTGGGTAATGCTATTTTTGAACAGTCTAAAGAAGTAATTGGAATACAATTAAGTAGGTAATTATATATTCATTTTATTTATAACTGTGAAAAATAAATTTCAATTCGTTTTTTTTACTGCACTAACATTTAAGAAAATCAAACTTATTTACCGTAGCACCTATGATATGTCAATTTCGGAATTTTCTATACAAAATCAAAAGTGTATGGAAATACCTCGTCATCAAAGGCGTCCGGATCGGCCATCGTAACGGTTTTCTTCGGGGGAATTTTGTATGCAAGTCACCGTCACACGCGCACGTGTCTATAGCGAACAGTCAGTTCCAGTCGTCACATAGATTGGTGGCACGGGCCACTCATCTTGGCACTTCTTTTAATTTTCAAATCTGAAACAAACAAAAAAGAATATTTCAATCGAGTGAAATAATAAATAATAAATAAATATTTACTAACAGTCACGCCACGTTAACTAGTCCCGCGATAAGTTTGTAAAGAACTTGTGTTACAGGTACCAGATAACGGAAATAAATATAAGATTTTTGTTATACACATACACATGTTTAATATACATCCATAATCCTGGAAAAGACATTTATATTTATCATACAAATATTTTCCCTTGGCGGGATTCGAACCCGCGACCCCCTTGTGTAGTGACCATGTCACTTACCTTTTTTTTTTCCTACCTAAGCTGGTCGCCTGGAGAGGCTATTCGAGCGTAACCCTAACTAGTAGGTGAGCTCACGGGGCTCAAACCTGACGACGTTGCTAACACGAACCCTAGCAAGAGCCGTGCTTCGCAGAATCTACCACCGGATCGGAAACGCGACCCACTGAGAAGATCCGGCGAGAAACTCAGTGGGCTGTGTCTGAGAGTTAATTTACTCGTCGAGCCCTTCGTCGCAAGCGACTGGTTCGACGAGAAGTCACTTACCACTACACCAGACGGCCGTTCGTTGAAAGGGTAATAAATAACAAAATTGAGACGACGTCAGTAAAATTCATTTAATTCGAGACACTTTTAATACACGTCGTGACAAAGTTCAATGTCGTTTTACGCTCGTGTGAAAGGTGAATTGAGTCGTCTATTATCAAAGGTGGCAATCTGTGCATTTGAACAAGAAAATGTTATTGATATGTCAATACAGATTGATTTGAATATAATCGTCTCCTTCAAAGAATACGGTTCAAAACCTGCATTAAATAAAGGTTAATACTTAACCTGTTATTTATCTAAGATGTCGTTCAAAAGAGTTTTGTGGTTGCCAATGGAATACAAAGTCAATAATTCGTTTTTCTGATTTACCAATAATTGTCCAAAAGTCACATTGCCGGCTTTGATACTAGTCGACTCAATTATGGGTTGAATTAGACACCAAACTAGTTACTTGTATTTGAAAACATCGTAGCGAAATTTAATACAAACTAAGACCCTGTAACTCCTCCCTGGTGCCCAGCAATGTATTTCATTCCATTATTTGAGTTAAAAATTACTTTTCGTTTTATTGATGATGAATTTAAAAATAACTTTAAATAACTCTAAATAAAAATAACTATTCTAATGGTTAATGGGTTGTAGATGTCTATGGGTTCCAGTAACCACTTAACACCAGGAGGGCTGTGAGCTCGTCCACCCAACCAAGCAATAAAAAAAACGTAGTAGATTCGTAGATTCGTTTCTTTAGTAACAGATGCACTCACACTTTTTTATTAAAATCGCATAAAAGATTAATTCAATTATTTTTTATTTATTTCTTAGGTTGGTAGACGACTCGGCGGACGGACTCACGGCCCACCTGCTGTTAAGTGGTTACCGGAGCCCATAGTCAACTACAACGTAAATGTCGCCATCCACCTTGAGACATAAGTTCTAAGGTATAGTTACAACGGGTGCCCCAATATTCAAACCCAGTACTACTTCTCGGCAGAAATAGGCAGGGTGATGGTATCTACCCGTACGGGCTCACAAGAGGTCCTACCACCAGCAAGATGCAAAATGTGTTAATTAATGTATTATATCTGATCTAATTCTCTCTGTAAACGATTTGAAGAAACTCCTCTTAGAATAAGAATTCTGAAATTCATAATCACATCAAAAAATGGAAAATTATTTTTCTGAAGCTGCTTTTAAAAGATTAATAATATGTGATAAAAGTACCAGTAGTGCTACTTAGATGCACTATTATCACGGTCGCACACGAAAAACATTAAAATAACCCCAACAGTTTGTGCAACAGAACATATTTTAAATTGCATTAATTTACGCACATTTTGTATTCCTTCGAGGTCAATGACTTATCTCTAATAACTTTTTTTTTTGGTCAGGAGGAAATCGCCGGACTCCCACCCTCCACTGGGGATGGAGGGTGGGGCATGTCGGAGTCGAACCGACTAAAACCTCCTGTCGCTCAACAACCAACGTCCAAACCCCGCATGAGACAGAACTCATGAAGAGGCAAAGGAAGGAAAGTGAAGCGTTTAGTGCGGAGCACATCTCTCCCATCACCCTCCCCCTCGGGACGCCGGACCAGCGATCGTCGGCGCCACGACCACCAGCCCTCTCGGTCGGCAGGCTGTCCGAATCCCGCCTAGATGGCGCCGGTTTGAATAGGTTATCCTACGAAATACCCCGCTGGGTCAGAACCAGCGTGGGTCGAGGATAGTCGGCCTTCCATCACCCGGATGCTCTTGCGTAAAACGCGTGCAGAGCAGCTTGCACGACGCTTAGGCCCCCTTCGCCGGGCCCCAGACCGATATATGAGGGGGACCCGAAACACTTAGAGGGCCAGGGCTTGGGCGAGATCCGCCTCCCTGGCCCCCGCTCGACGGCAGCGGGCTTGTGCGTCTCTCACGCGCCCCGCCGCCTCCTTCTGCGAGATGGTGCACTCGCACAAGTCGAGCATCGCCTTCCACGACTCGTCGTCGCCGAGCATCGATGCCACAACACTCGGCAACGACAAGTCGTTTCCTATTTTTGCGACGAGGACACGGCGCCACCCCTCCCATGCGGGGCAGGCAACGAGCGTGTGCTCTGCCGTGTCCAAGTCGCAACCACAATTGTAACACACTGCCGTCGGCTCGGCTCCGATCCGGTGCAGGAACTCACCGAAGCAACCATGCCCAGTGAGCACCTGCGTGAGCCGGAAAGTGAGGCGTCCTCTGTCACGATTCACCCAATCCACAAGAATCGGGCGAATCGCCTCGACGGTCCTACGACCAGCCGAAGGATCGGCCAGCCACCTGGACCATGACTCCAGCACGGACCGCCGAGATTGGGCCCTCCGCGCTCTGACCACACTGGGGCTGGGACGCGCCACGCCCCGGGCACGAAGGTTAGCCCGCCACTGATAGTCAGCGGCGAGCGCCTCCGCCTCCAGGACCCAAGGCGGCGTCCCAGCCAGTACACACGCCGCCTCAAAAGAGATGGTGCGATAACCACGGATGACCCTGACCGCGATGGTGCGTTGCGGCCGTTGCAGCAACTTCACTACCCCCACGGCCAGGGACTGGCCCCACACGGGTGCCCCGTATAAGGCCATTGACCGCACCACCCCCGTGTAGAGACAGCGCGTCACCTGGTCAGGCCCCCCGATGTTGGGAAGAAGCCGGCTTAACGCGCCGGCCACCCCCAACAAACGAGGGACCAGGTGCTGAAAGTGAGCACGGAAGGTCCAACGACTGTCCAGAATGAGGCCGAGGTACTTTAACTGCACCCCGACCCCAATCCGGACGCCCCCAACCACGATATGGGCATCGACAGGTAGCACTCTCCGGGGCATCTCTAATAAATTAGGATATTAATCATTTTTATACGCAGAAGCGTCGATGCTCAAACTTTGAATATATTTTCAAGATCGTATTTTCACTCCATGTTTCCTACGCTGTACATAACTGTGTATAACTTTCAGAGACACACGTACTCAACAAATGTTCACGATTGATTTCCACGGTGAAGGAATAACATCGTGTAATAAAAATGAAAACCGCAAAATTATAATTTGCGTAATTACTGGTGGTAGGACCTCTTGTGAGGCCGCGCGGGTGGGTACCAACACCCTGCCTATTTCTGCCGTGAAGCAGTAATGCGTTTCGGTTTGAAGGGTGGAACAGCCGTTGTAACTATACTTCAGACCTTAGAACTTATATCTCAAGGTGGGTGGCGCATTTACGTTGTGGATATATATGGGCTCCAGTAACCACTTAACACCAGGTGGGCTGTGAGCTCGTCCACCCATCTAAGCAATAAAAAAAAAAGATTAAAAAAAACACCATTTTGTTATACAACCATCCTCAAACATGAAGTTAGTTCAAAATATTTAACACAATAACCGGACTAATTAGTGAGGAACATAAATCTCTCTGGTCTCAAGCCTTTGCGGGTTTCTTTAAATCTTTTTTAATTAAATTTCTCAAGTCTTAATCCGTTGCCAGGCGGCTTTAAATTAATTTCATAACGCAACGCAACGCTACGTTTTTATTAGGTCAACAATGCAAAGACTTTTTTTATTGCCCTTGTGGGCAGACGAGCATACGGCCCACCTGATGGTGAGTGGTTGCCGTCGCCCATCTACCGCAGCAATGCCAAGAGCAGAGCCAAGCCGCTGCCTACCGTTTTTGGTAGTAATAAATGGTACATCAAATTACAAAATTAAATATTCAATTGAAAATCAAACAGGGAAAATAAAATACAGACACAAAAGATAATCTATACATTAATACTCTTCTTCTTTTTCTCCACCTTATCCCACTATGTGGAATCGCCACAGCTATTTTTTCTCTTCCATTCTCTTCTATCAGCCGTCATCTCAACGCTCACTCCTCTCTCTCTCATATAGTAATTCCCTGTCATCTAAACACTCACTCCTCATATCGTCATTCACACACTCCATCCATGCCTTCTTCGGCCGACCTCTTCCCCCTCTACCTTGCACTACCATTTCCATACATCTCCTAGTCACGTGCATCTTCTCTCGACGCATCACATGTCCATACCACGCTAACCCAAATCTATACATTTATACGTTAAGCAAAAACTTTGTACCCCTTTTTACGAAAATTGCGCGGACGGAGGAGTATGAAATTCCCCACACTTATAAGAGAAACTCCGCCGTTGCCGGTCCCAAGCCCGGATGAGAAAGGAGGAGGGTTGGTATGGAGGAAAACAACCCAACCATAAAAGAAACAACGCCGGTCAATTAACCCGATCCCTCTGACACCTGTTGGAGAGTGGCTCACAGAGACCATGAGGACTTAAATAACCTCTAAAATTCTGCAGTGGAAGGATCTGGGTACCCACCACTAAGTATTTACCCAAGAAAACTCCCTCAATGAACAGTACGATTTACAGAGCTAGTTTGTTGAGCGATCCGGCTAACCCCCGGCGCCG